GAAACCGAAAGCAGTGCGCGGAAAACCGCTGGTCAGGGTATTCTAATGGAAATTACATGCACATACTAAATGGCCAACTGGAAATGGTCAGCGAGAGAGCGGAAAAGGCGAGAAAAGCGGCCAGCACGGAGTGTGGAGTATGGAATATGGAGTATGGCCAACTGAGGAGGACGGCCGGGGAAACTGTTTGTTTGGTCAGCGCTGGCTTCGATTAGCTCCTGCAAGGCGGAAGCCCAGAAGCACACCAACAAACAGCACCTTTTAAAGTGCGGTCCAGAAAAGGAAGACTCAGAGGGCACTCACAGCAATTTAAAGGAGATTAGAATTGATTATAATTAGTTTACCCAGTAGCCCTGGCCATAACAAAGTTATTTTTACTCATCTAGGAGCCTCCAAGCGACACAAATTACGATCTTCGTTAGGAACGAGGAAATCGCGCAGGGTGAGTGCACTTTCCACCATCGATGGGGAGTTGGAAAGATCTTTGGTTAGCCTAGTTTCGGCGCTCGCTTTTGAGGTTTTCGATTTTTGTGCATATAAAGCGACCTATTTATTTACCGACTAACTAGGACTAGGTATCTTGAAAAGCTACATAGTTTGGCTACGGATGATCACAAGCATAATAATTATAAGTGTATATGTGAATGGATAATGCTTGGGCTTCATCTTGTATGCAAACCAAGAATGCTAGAGCCCATTTACGATCCCATGCTGCAAGTTGTAGCAGCGAGGGAGAGACTTCTGGAAGGCCTGACACATCCACTTATGGAGCACTCGAATAGCCCCAAATATGGCCAAGAAACAAAACACACGCAGACCTTGAGTGATGGTAACAAGATGGGGATGGGTTGGATGACGATACACCCGGATGAAATTAACCAAATGTTTAATAACATAGCGGTGTAGAAATTTCAAGTGGCGACTCATTATGGGCCACAGATGTGCGGAGTAAGTTGTTCTCCTTGTTTTCCTTGTTTCCCTCGTTTTCCCTTCCAGGAAGGTCAATGCAGCAGTGTCTTTGCGTTTTCTGATGACTCATTGCCAAGTTCGAATGTCACGAGTTTCTTCGGCTGCGATTTGGCCTGAGTGTCTCAGTGTTTCTGTGTTTCAGTGTTGGGGCTCTGCGTTTTGAGTTCTGCGCTGCCGGTTTCTGTCTTTGGGTTTTATCTCGGGTTCCCAGTAAGCCGTGTCCGCCGTGTCCGCCTTATCGGAGTCGAACATTGCCCGACTGCTCGCAAAGATGTGCTCCCGATTTTTGGTGTTTTCTTTTAGGGAAATATTTCACTGGCTGTCGTCGCCTTTGGTCAGGGGAACGGGGAGGAGGGCCTCCAGTTTCAAAAACCGAGCGTTGCCAGACGATAAATAAAAAACAAGAATGAAAGCTGGCTTCAGCAAGCCGAAGCTTCAATGCTCTTGCACTAAATAGGCTTATAATAACAAAAAAATGATTGATGATTGAAAAAAAAAGAAAAACGAAACTGTGATTTCTTTTCTATTTGTTCTAATACCCCTGTGACTGATTCTTTGGCAGCTACATGTGTGATATAGTCGAAAATAGTGGAAAATATCAAAACATTTTTCAAAAGTGTGGGCGTGACAGTTTTGGGCGGCTTGTGGGCGTGGCAAAAAGTTTTTTCTATAGAAATTTACAAGATATATTCAAAAGTATCACATTTTTAACAACTTTTACACTTATATTCCGTTTCGACTTTGAGTGGGCTGTTGAATCATGAGAATGCCAGTATACATTGTACATATACTTTGAACGCTTGCAAATGTCACTTCCACTGCGCCGCGAGCTGACTGAAGCCAATGTACCCTCTGCTAGGGTATAACAAGCTTTAAGCTGGTGCGCAGAGCCCAAACCTTCGAAATTATCAAATGTGTCCGAAGACATTGCCTCGTAATGTTCTCAAAACGAGAACAAAAAATGTAGCTGATAGTACGTATGCCTACAAATATGTACGAAAATATATCGTTTGAAAACATTCGTCTCTACACTGGTGTTGATTGAATGCTTCCCTAAATATCTTTCAAAATATTTTTTGTGTTGGAGCCACAGTAAAGCTCAAAGTTTAGCAATGCCAAGTATGATTGGCCGGCCCTGAATTCTCGTTCAGCTTCTCCCCACAGAATTTTCCGAGGCAGACGAAAGAGATACCGAGCACAGTGATATGTAAATGGCCTATGCTTTCGCAAACTTGCAAATTGCCGTCTACTTTCATGTTGTCCTGGCCATGTGATCCCTTTTTTGCAGCCATGTCTTTATTTTGTCCAACGGCCTTCTTTTTCCCGAATGTGTATGCCTGTATGGCTGTGGGCTATCTCGCCATTGGATTGTGTTGATGTTTTCTTTTGGAGGCCCGAGAGCAAATGAATCCCAAAAATGTTAAATGTTGGCTGCCCCTTTCGGGTTTTCTCGCTTTAAACTTGATTCACGTCGGCCCGCTCGGCATCGATATGTTTTCTTTACCAGTTTTTTTTCGGCTCTTTGGTATCTTTGGCATGCATATGCGGCTTAGTCCCTCCGCTCCCCACCCATCTTTTCCTTTCCATGCCCCTTCTCCTCCTCCTCCTCCTCCTCCTTCTCCGGCGGCGTGTTGATGTGTTTATCATTGTTATTATTTATGTTTAGATTTGAATGTCAATGTCGAATCGGAATCGGAATCGGGATCGACATTCGTTCCAAACTCTGGCCAGGGGGGGAATGCCTAGGAAAAGGGAGTGTTTCTGGATTTTTGTGTGCGCGCCCTTTGAACTCTGATGCCATTAAGTTGTCAATTTGCGTTCTGACTTTGGAGCCATCCAAAGCCGCCGTCGCGAGCCCACATAAGGGACTTGTACGGCGCATAGCGGCTGATCTGGTCTCCATTCACTAGCTATGAGAAAGACGATCTGAAACGAACCAGGAAGATTAAGTACAGAACCCCATATCATGACATTTTGGCTAGTGGTGGAGCCTCCTGTGGTGACAAGAATTCCAATTGTGCATCTTACGCTTCAATTTGCTCAGCTGCCACTTTTCCAATTCACTTACAGTTACAACCTCTTCGTTGCCAAATTCGTTTCCCTTGCCAACAGCTTCGTCTGTCCAATGTTTTTGACTTGTTTGTATTTTCATATTCAGACTCCCACGCAAAACTTTTGACAACGTTTGGTTTGGTTTTCGCCTCTTAATTAATGTTGGGTTTTTCTCCCCAGAGACGCAAACTTGTTCGAAAAGTGAAAACGAGAACATTAAAAAAGTGAAAATGATTAGCATTGCGGGGAGGGGAAGTAATACGCTGACGGGAAAAATGTAAAAAGAAATTAATTTTCATTGAAAATCCAAATGCCCCTCGCAGAGGGCGGTGAAGGGGGTGAGGAGGGAGCAGAAGAAGCAGCAGCGAAGGCAAACAATCGAAAGACAACGAAATTTTTTAATTGATTTCACTTAAATCACTTTTGCTCCAAAACAACGCAGCATCTGCCCAAGAAGAAGGAAAAGTACAAAAACACATTTCGGACTTTTTTCTTTTTTGTTAACATTTTTTTCTTCGGCTTTTTGTTTTTGGGCGAAAGGCCCCACACTTGACCGTCGAAAAGTCAACAAGGGGGAAGGCGGAGAAGAAAGAGAGAATGGGAAAAAGGCTGATCCGAATTCGTACACTTGGCGAAACAGCCCCTTGTTGGCCGTAGAAAGCTCTGATTTTGGCCATATTTAGTTGCCCGAGCAAACTGTATACATTTATATCTTTAGGTAATGGTCCTTGTGCTCGCCATAAATTATCCTAATTTACAACATTTTGCGAACTCTTGGTATCGTGGGTTTTAGCTGGCAACACCGCATTAAAAATAAGGGATTTCACCCAAATCAAATCGAAATTGAAACGCTGTATTCGGACAAAGTGGCCCTAATTGGCCGTTATGTTGGCCTAAACAGCGGTACGGGCTCAAGTGGCGGCTAATTAAGAGTACCGAGAAGTCCCCAATGGCGATAAGGGGGAACAAAAAGAGGACTGCTCCAACTTCGATCTAAGTTCGAGGAAACCCACCTCCGACTTTCCGGGCCTCTCGAGATTGTTAGCCTTATTTCCGATTGCTAGTGGTGCCTCTAGTGGTCTCCCGACCTCGGACAAAATTGAAAATAGATTTTACTCAATAACGAAAAGAAAAACGCACTGCCTACGGAAAATTACCAGGAAAAAAGAGCCGTATTGTCTATGTAAATTGAACAATTAGCTGCATTCAGAAAAAATGAAAAGCAGAGAAACTAAAGCAGAGTCATTAATCATCCTGTGCAGGCGGCCAAAAGAGAAAAAACACTCGGAAAAACATTCCATAGCAGGCGGGTATAGGTTTATCAAGAAAGTCAGCGCGCCTATCGGGTCTTACGTTCCACTTCAGTACTCTCGGAAGAATTCGGAAAATCCAAAAGGGTTTTGGAATCTTGTAAATTCTGTATATTTTTTTTATTCACATTCCCAAGGTGACCAATGATAGATCGGTTTTTTTTAAGAATTTGTAAGCTTACTATTCTCTTGGGGGATACAAAACAGGAGAACAAACAGATAGTATCGGAAATAAAAAATAGATACCAAGCCAAAAGGAATCAAGGACTTGCAAGTGGCCTACACCATTAAAGAATCAAAGTTGTTGGTTGATAATCTTAAGTTTCTTCTCCTGACAACCAAAAAATACACGTAAATCTTTTTGATGCACTTCTTTTTATTGCCTTAGCTAAATTTAAATATTTTGCCAGCATACAATGTTCGGCAATGCACAAACACTTTTTTTATTAATTATAGACAAATCAATTAAAGCGCGATGCTCAGTGCAGTTGCAGCTTAAGAGTAGTGAGATCTGAGCGCGGCTTAAGCGCGCTCTTCGAAGAGAGTTTTATTTGCTTCTCTTGACAAAGATCATTGCCGACATGTACATATGTATATACAAGTACATGCATATATTTATATCTGAACACTGACAATCCTCTCTCGTACTCTCTGCCTGTGAGGGCGACTGCGGCGACGACGTCGACGCCGGCCACGCGTTTTGAAGCCGCTTCTCATTCAAAAAACAACTGTGAACGTGATCGGTAACGGTGCGTGCTCTCTTTTCCGCCTCTGCAGTCTCTTTGCGAAAAGAACTTGGTATAAGTGAGGGGGGAAGAAAGCGGAGGAAAGTCACCAGCAATACCAAATGAAAAAACAACAATATTTCGTTTCGATTGAATTTGTAACATAAATTTATATTTAAGAGACATGTGCAATCGGCCAAAACGTGCGCATTTAACTCAGAAGCAAACAAATAGCATGGGAAATCTGAAGTTTTACTATATCTTCTGATTCCCGGTAGAAATGTGTCCCCTTAAAAAAAATTTCGAACGTTTTTTCGTGTACTTTTCGGTTTTATTTATTCTTCTTTTTTTTGGCCCCTTTTTATTTTTTCTAAATTTGACCCGATTTCCATTTGGATTTGAACGAGAACCTAAACTCTAAAACAAAACGAAAACAAAACAAAACATACGATTGCATATCTGTGAAAGGAAACAGGAAAAAGAGAACGAGCCAAGTGAAAAAAAAGTAAAATAAAATACATACTACGGAGGCGTGTATTAATATACTATACTTTTGTGTATATACTACATTGTGAAACAGTTGTTGTTGTGCTATTGTTGTCGGCTTTACAGCAACAGGCGTCCGATAATTTATAATCTTAAAAATATATGCGCCCTGTGCATATAGATTCGCCTATGTGCACTGAAAAAACCGGGATCAATTTAAAAAGACACACATAATAATCACAAGACCTCAATGAAAGTTTCATATTGATATTCTTAGGCATAAAAGTGGTAAACAAGTGTCTATTCCGCAATCTAAGTTGTTTTCGGTGCACGTGGGACTAATCTATTCTATTGATTTTTATTCAATACTTGTTTAAAAAAATAATTCCCTCTTTGTTTTTTTTCTTCCCAACAGTGTGTTACAATAGATACCTTTTGAAGTCGATTTTTGTAGTGTTTTTTTTTGTGTGCGCAAAAGTCTTTGTGAATGAAATAATACATGTGATACAGTCGGAGAAGTAAAATAGATAAATCGAAAAAATTGAATAATAAACAGTTGGTTGTCCTAATGAGAGTAACAATAATAAATGCAGTGACAAAAGTCGATTCAACCAACTGCAGCGAAAAATGAAAGGCAACCAGCGACGGGAAAACTTAAAGCAACTGAAAAAAATTTAGTATCTAATAAAGAAGTTTAAACTGGCTCTAACCAGCAAGCAACCGGGCTAGCAACCAACAAAAATATAAAATTCTTTAAAAACCAAACTAAAAAAACTCAACCGCCATCAAAACGAAATTCAAAACGAGCCAATTTGTGGTGTTTATTATTTATTTATATGCTAATTTATTTTTACAACAACTTGGTATTAACCCACAATCAAACAACAACAAAGCCGGGGAAGGAAAAAAGAAGAAGCAAAGAAAGGCAAAAGCAGCGCACCTTCTTTGACGTCTTTGTTTTGGGATATAAAACAGCAAAAGTAAGTGGATTGTATGTATTTTTGTTTAAACTTTATGTGTGTTTTATAATTCCCATCGAATTCATTGCCTTCCGCTGCGAAACTTGTTTTTTAATGCAAATTCAATTGAAGCGAAATCTTTACAGCTCTGCAAGTTCGGATCTCGGATCTCGGACCTCGGACCCGAAACCCACAGTATCCCTCACGTTCCCGGTCCTCCGCATTATCCTTGCACATTATGTGCTCGAATGTGCTCTCGGAATGTCTTATTTTCGTGGGCTTATCCTCGGGGATTTTCCGGGCTCACGCCCGATGCTGACCTTCTGACTCTGCGGACGTGGGAAATCTAGCCATTCTGCAGATGCAGGCTGACTCTTGGGATCTTTAGTGACCAAATCGCGAGGTATTTAGTCGAATGCTTTTTGGAATTGGGCGTTTCCTTGCTTTTGTGGAACAGCTTTTAGGCGTCCAAATGGATTCAACCTGGCTGAGTTCGGGTTAATGTCACTATGTATAATCTCCCTTAAATCTTTAAAAAAAAAAACTGATAAATAACACAAATAGTTCGAAACACTTATAGGTCAAGCAATAGCCACGCAAACCTTTGCCAACCTGATCAAGTTTTGTACTAGCTATTGCAAAAAGTAATTTCATGTAATGTATGATAGCCCTAGTGTCATCATACAACCAAAACTTCAAGCTGGTCAAGTACACCGAATTCGAGGGGCATTAGGTGTCTTATGTCTTATCTGGGTTCGCTCTCAAACATTTGCCAAACAAGTGAGTTCACGAATTTGTTTATAGAGATGAGCTCTATGGTCCCTGGTAATGGACAATGATGATAATGCCGATGAAGTCACGTGGTAACCCTATCAGCGCCGAAGTGGCAAAGTGATCACTTCCGCTGGACGTAGAATACATTGTGGCTTAAAATGGAAAACTAAGAGCGAACCATGAACGAATTTCGGAACCAAATTTCAGTCCCGCATGAAAGTGTAACCAAGTTAATTGCATTTAACCGACTGTCCAAAAAATAAAGAGTTGGAAGGGTGGCAAAGCACTCGAGTGGCTGGGAAATTGTTGACATTCGGGTTGGAAATTGCACACTGAGAAAAATTTCAATATACTAAATAGTACATTCAATATACCCTGTACTCGTATTTTTTTTGGCGTGTGCGCCAACTGCGAAATGTTTTCTGTGCAGTACCAAAACGCCCACAAAATGCTCCAAAAGTCATTATCAGCTTTAGAAAGTGTTACAGACGCCACGAAAATCAAATTCCGGGGATTGTGATGGTACATGCTATGTAGTATGTATGTACGTACTATATACACATGCTTAGTTCGTGGGGATCTGCGCGGAGCCCAGAGTGACGGACTTTCCCCACTTGCCTCGACTATCAGATACCCGTCACTCAGCTGGTGAATTTTATCTTCTAAAATAATTAACCGATTCGAATTATAACTGCAGTTATCGTCTCCCGATGCCAATCAAGATCATATGTGTATGGATGTATGTATGTATTTCTAAAAGGGTCGGAAACCTTTCCTGTAACATACTTTTCCGCGAATTTAGTTTACCCTTTTACTCTGCGAGCATGCGACCTATGTGTTTGATACCCCCTCAGAGAACGTGCAATGAAATCAGCAACCGAAAAAAACGAATCTATCACGAAATTATTTTCGAGGCTCTTTAAGTGTGCTGTATATAGCCGTGGCTATATAGCCGTGGTAAAATTGATTCAGCTGCATCGGGGCAAACAGCATCGAATGGGCGATCCGTAGGGCAGTACGTGCCTGAGGGCCCAAAAACCGAAAACCAAATGCCGATGCCGATGCCGATATACGACCTCCGCTTACACGGAAAACTTGGGGAATGTTTGTTCTGGAATTTTCTGAATCTATTCCCCATTCTAGACCATGCTTTTGAGGGGATTCCAAGAAATCGGCTAATGCTCGAGTAGGAAGTTACGAACAAGTTCCTACCTGGAAGTTCTTAAATATATGGCGTAAAAGAGTGGTTGTAAAAAGTTCTGACCAGCTAGTAATTTTGACTAGCTAGTAATACAAAATAGAAATTTATGGATATGCAGAGCACAAGGACTGTGCAATCATATATAATGTGCAATACGTATAATAAATGGTAACTACACAGAGCAAAAGAGCTCCGAAGTAGAGGACATTGGCAGTCGTCGCATAAATACACATGCATATGCTAGCCATCTCGATATACGCTCTCATTTACATGAGTTCTGGTCCAGAAGTCGTGAAATTGCATTGTTTTCATATCTCATTTTGGGATCATTTCCACTTCCCCACTCATGGTATTCACTCAGTTATTCACCTGTTGAACCTGAGCTTGGGTGGCCCATGCTAATAAGGTAATACATATTCGCCGTTAGAGCGCGGAATCCGCCTGCTAGGCCCCGGCAGTAGCTTGCGACCCCCCTTTCGACTTTTGGCCCCATGTGCAGCGGCGCGTTTCCCCCTCCTCCGTCCCCTGAGTGGGTGAGTCCCCGCGTGGTTATTTAGGCATGAAGGCGGATGGATGAATTGGCGGACGAGGGGTGTAGCATGGGGTCTGCTTTTCGGGAAGAGCACGTTGGCTGAGTCATCGCCAAGTCACAAGCGTAGCATGCAGCGCGCTCGCCTGAAGCAGCCAAGCGTCAAAGTGTCGACGAACAGGTGCCTCAGCTCCAGATGGTGGGTAAAAGTGGGGCTGTGCGGGGGAGGGGGGTTGCGACCAAATGGGGGCGGCTGCTACTGGGGCAGAACCTGTTACGCCCTTTCGGTTGCCGCGGATGCACAGCGAAAAATACATTGCCGTCGTTTTTCGTCAGTAGCGTGTACATCTGAGTCTTCACAAGATCAGTGGCATTGCCAAGGAAAGCTTCGAATCTTGGGTATTGTGCCTGTCCTTGTGACCCAACGTGCCTCAAAGGAAATACGTCTCGAGTTTTGCAATCCTAAATAGCTATGATGTATAATATATGTTGCGCGCGTTGGTTTGCCACCGTGTACCTCTACATTGATCCTAAAGACGCGGCGCCTTTTAAATATCATAAATAACATATCGGAATATGTGATCGAACTCATTACAAAATACTGGATGTTCGTTAGAGTTGAGTGTTTTTTTGCGTGTGCGCTGGCCGTTGATGTTGCCGCTGTTTTTGTGCGGCTGATGTGGCGGCCGCAAGCGGAAGCAGCGCGGCTTGGGGCAGCGTCCATCGAGGCGGCTCCATCGGAATTGTAGCGACTACAACTGTGCGGACGCCAATGGATATAGCCGCAGGTGCACTGCCCCCAGCACTGTGTTGCTGTTGCTGTTGTTGCTGTTGCTGTTGCTGCTATTACAATGCGATTTTTTATTGTTCTTGTCCGTGGACAGTGCTCGTAATTTCCATCGCACGCCGCCGCCGTTCTTCTTTCTTTATGACGACTCTTTCTTCCGCTTCTCGATATAAGTCCGTTTCTGTTCCAGCTGAATGCGTCGCTGCTACTTCCGCTTACAGTTCTTTTTTATTACACTTTATTACACATTTTATATTCCGTTTTGATTTCCATTTACACTGCGCTCCCTCTGTGTTTTGTTTTGGCCAAATGATTTAATCATTCCCCGCGTGTGGGGAGCACCGCGATGTGGAGAACCGTGAGGAGAGCGAAAGATGGCCAAGAGCCATGAAAATAGACGCAAGTTAAGCTTTGCCAGACGAAATAGTCACTGGCACTCCGTTAACCTGTTTGGAAAATTAGCTTCAAATGGGCAGTAATGGGTTATCAACTGGAAAAGAATATTTAACGAAGATCTTGAAACTTTAGCATGTTGCGTGATTCGTTTTTGTTTGTGTTGCAAACCTAGAGATTTTCGCTGAAGGTAATCAAAAAAGGGAGAAATTGGGTGGGACTAACTAAATCATAAAGGTTAGTATTGAAGACTTCAAAATGTTTCCAAAAGCCAGTATACGTCAAAAGTCACATTTAATGGTGTACCAGTTACCACAACATTTTCCACACTTAAATTTTTGTAGTTGTTACTCGTTCAGTAAGAGGGTATACTAGATTCGATTATGTATGTACACATGGATTGAGATAGATATATCGAGATTGCAGGAACTAAGAGCTAGAGAGCTGGAATTCAATAAGCAGATTTTAGAAAGGTCTTCGTAGTGGAAGTTTCTTTTAAAACTTTGCGAGAAATGGTTGAAATTAAAAGTTTTTCAGCAATTAATGTAACCGCCACTAGGAAACAGGCGCTTCCACCTCGCACCACCTCTAGATGAGTAATGGGTATACACTTAGTCGAGGTGTGCAATAAGGCGCGATCTCAGTTATCGAGATGGGATAAAAGTGACGGTGGCACCTGAAACCCTAAACATTCCTGATATCAGATTTTGTGAAGATTATTAGTAACATAAACATTAGGTAATAATTTTAAATAATTTAGTCTGTTTCATTTTCTATTATTTGTTGCTATTGCGCCCGACTCTCTCGGTGCTCATCGTCACTACGTGGACTGCCGTCCACAGTGATGGTAAAATAAAATACATATGCATATTACGTTTCCCAACAATACAAAACGTCTCTCAGTCACCGGCCAGTTTCCATTATACTTACAAAGTTATTACAAAAGTGTTTTACCCAATTGATTATTCCTAATAGCAGACGTCATTTTACGTTACGTACACGTATATCAGTTTTACCTGAATACAACGAGTAAGTAATCCCAAAATAAATACAATTAAAAACCGTTTATTTGTGTTATTGATGTCAATGGAGGAAAACCTCTTATTTATTTATCGTTTGTCATCTTAGTTAGGGATTTTGAGCAAGACAGCTTCTTCATTTCGGAGGATGTCACGATTCATCTGTTTTCCCCCTTTTCAAAGACCCTTCAGCAAGGTTTTCCCTTGCTAGTTCTCCATTTGGCATGTTTCCCGGGTTGTCGCATTTAGAACTCTGACAATTTTGTCTGTAGTTTTTCGTGCATCCACTCCCTCCCACTGGTTTTTCTCCCCTTTCCCCATTTTCCCCATTTTATGTTCGAGCACGGCAAGTGTGAAAGCATATGTTTTGATAATGCTATCGTTGTGCTCCAGGCCCAGGGCCTACAATTCGGCTTCTGGATTTTTGCAGCGGCGGAAGCTGAATGGGCGGGGGCGTGGCAGGTGAGAGGTGGCCAGGGGCGTGGGTTGATGGAATGCAAAGCATTTGCATGGCAAGTTTTTGGATTCGCGCGAAATGAAAACGCGTGTTTGCCAGCGACTCCATGTTGCTGATACTCTTGGTGTTGCCACCGTGGGTGTGATGCTGATGCGGCTGTGTAATTTTTGGCGTTCGTTACAGCTGTTTGCGGTGGCCAGAAGATGTTTTGGTTGAAAATTCCCGTTCGGTTTTTGGCATTTTTTCCCGCACTTCTGTATTATATTTTGCCGTATTTTTTTCCACTTTTTGTTATGGGTCTTTTTGTTTATGCTAGCATGTTGCCGCCGTGTTGTTAAGGTTGCTGTTGCTATAGTTTATTATGCAGAATGTTGCGATTTTGGTGTTTTCCGGGTTTAAGCAAACAAACACCATAAGCCCACAAGATGATTAACGAATAAACCATTAAATATTAACTTTGTCGAGCCGTGAACTACAAATTCACAATTATCCAGAAGAAAAGAAAATGTATGCATTAATATAATTTAAACGTGGTCTCATTTTAATCAAAAAACTGCTTAGGACACATTTTGGGATGTACTTGGTTTTCTTGATGACCGAAAACCCCACATATAGTGATTAATAACCGGGAAAAGGGGTTGAATTTCACGAACTCCGAACGCAAATTTCTGTAGAACTTTCTTCTTTCCTTGTGGGGCGTCTTTGTGTAGCTGGGCGTCGATGCTGCAGCTGTGCATGCTGCAGAGCGTGGCATGATCAATTACTCGGCCACATGACCGACTGACAGACAACCAGATCTGGCAACAATAGGTCCCGGAACACAAAACACAAAACACGAAAGTCGAAACACGAAACTCGAAACACTTGCAGCAGCCGTACCAGCGAATTGCATTGTATTGTACGGGTGTATGCGCTGCAAAATCATGTGAGAAGTGTATTAAAATTGTTGCGACAGCGAATTGCAAGCTAGCAGTTTCCAGTGGCCCTCGGAAGTGCGCCCTCCCAGAAGCCCCCTGGCCACCACCCCCGGTGGCACCCACGCCAATGCCTGAGAATGCAGCGCGGGGTCAAAGTTTACAGCAGCTGCATCAGTTGTTGCTGATGTCGCTGTTGCTGGTGCAGCAGCAAATCTTGTTTGCTGTATGTGGCATCTTCTAGAGCGGATTCCCATGAACCGTAGGCGCCCTCAGCTGGCGGAGCAGTGGAAGGGGTCATGTGACCACGAGTGCTGTCTTGCCGCAGATACAGATGTACAGTACCAGAACGAAGCTGCATTCGAACATTTACAGCAGTTTTTGGAATTACTTTTCAAAAATAGCCGCATGATTAACCTCATCATTGGGAATTTGGAAACTTGTCTCTGACTTCAAAGACCTATTTAACAGTTATTCATTGCGAAACGAAAAAAAGCTGCCTTTCGATAGTTCGATAGTGGTCTTCGATTACCGATTACTTACTAACAATTAGATACATGTTTTTCCGAGTGCACTGAGTACCATATACGTATATGTACACAGCACCAGCATGCGGAGTTGCAAGCTTCACCGCTGTCAATGTTTTGTAGTGCGAAGCAATTGAATTGATGCTGATGACTAAACGAGGCGCGCGGCAAATGGAAACTTGAATTCATGGGTGGCCGATCCCCCATCCCCCATCCCCCCCTCCTCATCCATTACCCCATGGCAACTGGCCAGAGGATCACGACCAGGCCCTTCGCGAACGTGAGACGCCAGATAAATCAGCACTGCAATAGATGCCTCATTGTTAGTTGCCCGCCGCGTCCAAAATCGCTGGGCTAATGAGCGGGCGAGCGGCAGGCGCTGCGCTCCAGCTGCAACATGTTGCTCGCGGCCAGCACGTCAGCGGCAACTGAAGCAACTGAAGCAACAACAGTGATAAGGCCAGCATAGAAAGTTTAATGACTTTGGGTAACCGAACCGAGCCGAACAGAAAGCTATGCGAAGATGCGGAGGGCGATCTTCTTGGGCTAATCGAAATCGAAGCACAAATCAGGCAAACGCAAAGTCGCAAAAAGCCTGGAACGGTGCAAGCAATTGTATTAAGCGGTCTGCTGCACTGGGAGAAAAGAAGAATCAATCGGCTTGTGGATTCTTGTGATGGTACCGCAAGACTGCAAGGCTGCACAATTTATTAATTGAGCTGCAGTTTGCTGATTCCGCACGGGCTTTGAACAGAAATGTGTCTATGGAAAGCAAATTGCATCGCACTGTTGATAAAGATTGCTGCTGCAGCTCATCCTCCACCCCATCCCACCACTCCAAAGACTAGACTCCACCGACCACACAAGCTGACGATGATGAGCTTGTCTCCTTGTCATCGGCCGCTGTTCTTGTCTAGAATGCTGTTTTGAAGCCCACGGAGGTCACGACCTGCGCCGTACCTCACAGATAATTATCAAACTAGCAGCGGATCCGCGTTGATGTAAAGTAACACACCATCCAACAGGACCGCTACTAAGACTACTCTTATAAGCGTGCGAGGAGTCAATGGCTGATACAACTAGTTGCTCCGATTTACCTAGAACTAGAACCAGCTTAGATTAACTGAGTGCCATCCATTTACCCGTCCGAAAATTCGTCTTGGTCCCGATAAAATCGACCCCTTTTAGTATATGAATGCGGATTCGTTTGACGTCTTCTTAATTTGAGACACACTTCCACAGCAGCCCGCGCTCGCCCTGAAATTTTTGTGGTCGTTGAAGTTTTCATTGTTCATAAATGTTAACGGACTTAAAATGATTATCATTTATATGTCTTCGTCGCCAACTCGTTGCGATTGTTGTTATTGCAGTGTTCCCCGTTTTTATTGCCAGAAGAAAACAAGTAAAAAGATTGCGTTTAATTTAAGCATTTTTTGCATAAGCGCGAATTATGAACGGCACTAAAAACACGATGAAAAAACAAAATTAATAACAACGTCCGTCGATTGCAACAGGCGCTAATTTGATTTTTGTTGCTGGTACGGCGCCCCAGCAACTTGCAGCATTGCAGCAATTGTTGTTGCCCGTCTGGTGTTTTTTTTTTTTCTTTTTTTTGTTGTTGTCTGGAAGTTACATTTTGACATTTAAACTTGTTTTTGGCACTTGGCGGTATTTCTCACTCGCTTTATTTTTATTATCTTTCTTGATTTGCTCTTCGCTGGCTTTCTGGCGGCTTTCTGACTGCTTTCTTGATTGCTCGCTTGATTTCTGGACGAGTTTTAGCCCGGGCCCTACCACTCAACCCCAACCCCAACCCCAACCCCTCGCCTGGGGATCCCGCAACGCCCATGAAAACCATTAGCAAACACGATCTTGAATGTCTGGTGGGCCACATAGAAAATGCTTTGCCTCGATGCAAATTTCTGTTCACTTATTGAGCGGCTTATGCAAACATTTTGTGGAGGGGATGGATATGTTTTTGTTTCTGTTTCTGTTTCAGTTTCGATTTTGTTGTCTGATTCAACATCTGTAGGACACAATATCTTAGTGGAGGCTTAGCTGGAGTTTTCCTTGAAAATCAAAATGTCAAAGTTGTTTGATTTTCAAATCAGCAGCAAAGCAGGCTATCAGATACATCTGATGTGTTTGTACCATGCTGGTGATGAGCGTGTGAGCGAATTTTCATTGTGTTCAATGGATGCCACCGTAAAGACCATCACTGGGCTATATCGACTGCTGATTATATATATATAATATATTCATACAGTGTTGGCATCTGCTACATGAATTTCGTATCTATAGGCCAGTATTGCTTTCAGTGCTGAGCCATGAGTTTAAGAACATATTCTTTTCAGGAACTTGTGACGCAGTGTAGTCACGAGCGCACATTTCTAGTCCGCCCGCCATTCATCCGTATCTGTGGGATTGAAACGGACACATGGCGTTGCGGGAGGGTTTAAGAGGGCCTTCATTTTGATTGGGGTTCGGTTGGTTCATCGAGGCGTAGAATTAAACTGTTAAATTCAAACAATAACTGGATTTGTAACACCAAACACTGGCTCGCAATGAATTTAAGTTAGCTGGAAAATATTAAACAACTTAGGGGGCTTTAAGGCCGGCATTCTAGACATTCCTTTAATGTGTTTATTGCTCGTAGGCATTTTAATTTTTGTACAGGCTAAGAGTAGAGTAGCATTAAATAGCACTTTAATCTTCCGCTTTATTTATCCAACTCGCATAACTCATGTTGGTCTTAAAAGTCTAGACTTAATGAATTATTTCTATTTAAAGCAAACAACTTATTTACTTATCGATTTCCGGATGTTGTGTTCGTATTCCCAAACTTAAGCTCTGTGAATTCGTTTCAATGTCAAATACTTTCTTTAATGCGCCATTTGAGACTTCCTGTTAACAAATCCCATTCTTTATTCTTTCATGTTTCATATTGCTTATCACAAAAATAGGGCACAATGTAACATTAAATTCAATTTAATTAAATTAAATTCTGCCTCTTTTTTATTGCAGAATTACCCCTGCTCACATCCAAATCATACAAAACGAGAAGAATTGACATTTTGCTAAAATATTGTCTGCGCGATTGTAAAGACCTTTTTTCACTGCGGCTCGGCCACTTCACATGTCATTTGGCTTTATGTGGCCAGACTTGGGGTGAGTATTGGCTTTTATAGCCGAAAAACGTATTATTTAATAGGACCGAGCAGGTCTATAACTTTTCGTAAAAGCCCCTCACGATTATGTTTGGGACACTTCATCGAATAATTACGGTTTATATTCGATTGATAATTAAGTGATTAACCTTTGACAATGACAAGTTTTGGGTATTTTTTTTTTTGATTTTGACTGACAGCGCTATATTTTTAATAAGTAATTCTAGTAATACCTTTCAAATACAGTAGACCACTGATATTTTTTGCAGAGCCTTTCGTACTTATCGTTTTAAAGTTACTTTACTCTTCAATAAGCCGCAAAAAAGAGTAGTTAACTTATTGGTTTTGGTTAGATTGCATTTTTGCGCATATTTTCCACCTGATATACTTTCTGCCATAAATCACAAAGAGGAACAATTTCGCGGGTGCTTACTTTAATTGATTAAACACAACTGTTTACGACTTCTGCTGAAAATGCAGTATGGCCAGTCCGAATTTCCTCTCATTTTTATAGTAACACTCGCTATTGGCAGGCGGTATTACTTAGACCCGAATTAAAATTTGAATATTACAATAGTTTGGCACTTCATTCAGTTGGGTGTACGTATGTCTTCATCGGCATTGATGTCTTGGAAAACTAACAGAGTTAAGAAATAATATCAATTTAAATAAATATTTACATTAGTACTGTACACCAAATTCTACATAGGGAATCGAGGGTCTTTGCTGGAAAATTCTTAATTGCTCCAAAATATATTCCTCTTCGGTTCCCATCGCGATGCTGATGTTTTTTTTTATCACAAGGCCCATAAATTGTGGGAGCTCCAAAAGTTCGGTGTGCATTAAAATTGGCAATGTTGTTGCTATCGTTGGTGTTGCTGTTACCGCACATTGTATAAAAGTTGCAAAATCCAAATTAATGAATACGTCTAGTTGGCAAGCATCGTTCGTGCTGGTTCAATAACATTTTCATTGCGTTGACATAATTTTAATTAAAATAAAATCGAAAACAAGTCCCAGCATATTGGGTGCAAACACGCAATGAATATAAAGAGATCGCTGAGTCTCGTAAAAATTCGCGAACCGGGTTAACCCAGGCAAATAAAAACCAGGAGGGTCGCGATTTACATGCGAATCGCACTGGCCAGGGCTGCATGTCTGATGTGACCAATTTTAGTAGCAAAATCACCGTAAAAGAACTGGAAAGATGATTGTTGCCGTCTCTCTCTCTCTCTCTCTCTCGCTACTCGATTCCTGCCGGCTCTTTCTCAGACTTTAATTTAAACCCGGAAGCGATAAGAACAGCTAACGAAAACGCCAAGATAACTGACCGTGCACCAAAAGTCCCATTTATAATATATTATATGGGAAAAGTGAGCAAAATGAAGAACGAGCGCTTATCTCTTTCATCTTACATACTGCCGTCTCTTTCTGGTGTCCCTGCTCTTGGTCTTGAGAAGATTGCATCGCAAGAACTGCGATGAAAAAACACAAAATCAGCGAAAATGCGTATAAGTGAATCCACTAAATGTTATAGGTCAGCATACACACATATGTGAAATTGCATTTATATATTGTACATATGTATATTATGTTCTATAATCCTTTCCTGGTTATAGATTCGAACAAATATCTTATCCATAATTACAGGCTTAAGCGTAGTTATGTGATTACGTTTCGAAAATCGGTACTTACTGATAATGGCAACATGATGATTGGAGATAAAAAGTATGTCCAATGCAAGATCGGCTAGACTCTAAAGTTGTACATACACGTATATACATATGTACATGAAATCTGACGCTTAGTTATAAAGTCGGGCCATTAAGATTACTCAAAGTAGTAAGATATGGCTAAATATAGGGGTGTGAAATGTTCAAGAGAACAACATGTTGAGCGAGTAATAGACAACATTTTAATATCAATCTGTGTCACTGTGTCAGCTTTTTAACGTTGCTATAAAACACTGTAAGATGTCTCAATGCGTCACAGAATCGTAGATAATATTTTTAAGGGCCCCAAAAATCACTGGCAAATATACGTTTAATCTTTTGCACACTACCATTAAATTAATCTGTTGAACCTCGCTGGGCTTCGAACACATACAACCGCATAATCAATTTCAGTTTGGGTAATGTTCTCGCATTTTGTCTCGGGCTCAGTCGATTTAATGCAATAACAATACAAATTATTTATCAATTAAGCTGTTACATTTAATTTAATTCAATTTAATACTGTTCATATATGTATGTATGTATGTGCCAATAAAAAGCACAAAAAAGCACAAGCTGGAGTTCTTGCCACGAAAATTTATGCGAAAAGTTCAATTGCGTTCAAAATGTGAATAATTCGAGGTTGTTGTTCTGGCTGCCTGCTATCAATGCGACCGATGTATTTTGAGAATTTTCTCATGAATTTTGCATGTGACAATTTATTTATTTATTGATTTACTTTGCATCCAGCAGTGGAACGAAACCGCGAGCTTTGCCCATCCTGTAAATTGGCTTGGGCATTGCAGATACATAGATACGCCGATATATGTATAGGTACACATCTACATTCAGTGATACTGTACGCACGGCGAGATGGTTCTCACACTCACACTAACGTCCACATCCATTTTCGTTTTCATTTCCATTCGAAACGTGTCAAAGGTGTTGGCAATTTCGCAGTCAATTGGCATTAATTGAGTGTGAACACAAAAATATTTTTGTAAATTGTCGGGGCGGGGTCGAGGGTTAGGAATGCGCCGCGACCTCTTGGGGCAGCTACCGATGTTGTTGGTGTTGATGTTGCTTTTGTTGTTAGCACGCCCGTTGTTACCGCAAATGTGCCGCGCAATATGCAAATTGATTTGCCGAACAATTCATTTAAAAATGCGTTGCATAAGCCGCAAAGCTGAAGCCCGCAAAACACAAAACAGAACAAAACAGCAGCCAAAAGCGAAATGAAGTCCCAAAAAGACTGATGGAAATTGCCAAAATTGTTTGCAAAGCCGAGCAAAAAGTTGTTAGCCAATTGAAAAGGCAGATCGGACCCCTTTTCCAAATGAATTAATAGTTTTCATGATGTCTCTACCAAATTCATGCCCACAGGGATATTTGTAGCTTTTCGGTGGTATTTCTCAAAAAGGAGTTTAAAGTTATAGCTAACTTTATTTTTGACACGCTTCTGACGTTATCATCATTATCGGATATTTGGGAACTCACTGAACATTTTAACATAATATATTAGGTCCAAAAAAGGCAGTTGCACAGTTCGATAAATAAACTGAAAACAATCCAGATATTTAATCTTCCAACGCCGTGTTAAGTTAACAATGAATGGCTTAAGTAACTGCAATTACTTGCAGCAATTAACTAACAGGATTTTAATCATTTAAAAAATGTAAATATATTACCCCAGCCCTGCCGAAAGCGATACCATTTGGGATTGTCATGCAATCAGGGGTCTTTCACTGTGCTTTGCATTCAGCTGAGAATATCAACGCGAAGCGGTTCATTTGCACCATCATCGCCCTTTTTCGGGCACTGCGGAGTTTAAAATATCCAAAATATGCAAACGGACGGGCCAAATACCGTTTCAAAATCTGTTTTCCCATTCAACTCACATGGCCAGTTAATTTGGCAATTTTTCTATGTTTACACGACGTCGCTCACGGAGGCAAAACGGCGAAAACCCGAAAATTCAAACAATGAAATATGGCACAAATAAAGGTTGGCCTTGAATTGCGCGCCACATACGCGAAAAGAAACAAATCAGCTACGACGAATACGTAAATAAATAATAAACAATTGTTTTCTTTTCCCCCTTTTCAGCCCCATTCAGCCCCATTCAGCCCCCATTTATTTATTTTTTATTTATCCGCCGTTGATTGGCCCTCTCGAACTCAGTGCTCGTTGGGAGTTATATAAAAATACTACGACTAAACTAAAAAACACAATTGATAAAACTGCAGCAATCGCATTTCGTAAAAATCGAATTCCATTAAATTCCCTTTCGGATTTTCGTTTCGATAACATAACGTTCCATTTTCATTCAAATGGTTGGATTGCCAATAGTTTTCAAATTAAATTTATTCATTTTGAGGCTACACAATGAGCTTTTTCAAGCTTTGAGTATTTTTCATTCGTAATATTGGGTTACAATGAGAAAGGTATTCCTCAACCTTTTTCCCTTTTTAGGAGCCAACAATTTTTCTTTTTTGTTTTAATGTAAGTACATTATACACAATTATACACAATAAAAAGGCGATGTCTCAGAGTAAATGTAGTATGCATAAAACCAAACATAATGTTAAAATTTTAGAAAATTGGACTTGGCTCAACTATTGTTTCCGCAGTTCTTAATGCCACATATTATTGTGCACAAGACCCTGACTTTTGATGAAAGTACACACTCAGTACAAGAGAATGTGTTTTGCCCAGAGCCAACAATTAATTCGGTTTGAAATGAGCTGTGTTTTGTCGTTTAACGATTATTGAAACTACATCTACTAATTGGGTCTGGTCTGGTCTGGTCTGCTATTTGATGTGGTCATTCGTCACGCCGTCACAGAGATAGAGGGTGATGATTGATTCGGCTTGGCGTTTGTCATTGAATGTTCGGCACATAGCCTAGACTCTTTTTGGGAAGGGGTGTATGCCTAGAAAACAAGGAAGCCCATTGTGTGGCAGAGCAGTTGCAGCACTTACCATGCAGACGTGCAATGTCAATGACAAGTTCTGACCTTAGATATTTTTTGGAACACGAAAACCCCCAGCGGACCCCATATTTGCTTTTTGCATCCTCTTTCCCGGTTCTTGACTCACTGCAGTTAGGTGGGTACCCCTACACTTTCTTTAGTCGATTTCTCACGTTACCTTTATACGTTCTTAATTTGATGAAGAACTGCTAGAGCTGCTATAGTGCAATGATATGTACAAATATTCCGAATTGGAATTCCTAACAAAAGTTGAATTTTCATTTGATATACTTTTATTTTGTTCGTTACTCGTAGAG